TCTGTTATTTATCAAGGGGTGCCTAAACTTTTGCATGAGACTGTATATTCAACCATTTTCAAGTGTCAACTGGGAATAAGTCTAAAATCAGACATGCACATACCTGCCAGTTCACTGAAGAATCCTTCAACAGCTGTTCAAAATTCTGTTTAACTGCTTTTTGGAAAGCACTGGTCTCATACCTTTCATCTCCAAACTGACCTCTGAGAGCAGCCTCAGCAGGGCTGAGCTGTAGATAGAGAACAAGGTCTGGCTTTGGCAGTCCCACCTCAGGGTTCCTGCACCAGTCCATACTGAAACCCTGAAGAGGGGACACGCCAAGCTCATAAGAAATCAGTGGCACGTGGAATAACAGTTTGATGGATGCAGCATTTGAAAGACGAAGGAAAGACTCACTTGTTTTGCACTGCTGAAAGCAACTCCAGAGAAGGCGTACCTGTCCACAACCAGAGTGACTCCTTGCTCCAACTTCCTTTTCATCAAAGGTCTGTGGGTCAGAATAACTTCATTATGCTACATAGAAAAATACAGGCTCTAATTACAACAGGTACCTTTCAGTTATTGACAGAAAGCTAGAATGTGTTTTTTTTTTCATTCTTGAGACTGAAACAGCAAAAGCAGAAAATTAAGCACATTTACTCAAGGTTATGTGCAGCTTTGAACAATATGGCAGGTGATATTTTATATAGTTATCAACCAATTCCATAAGAAGACCCAAACCTGTTCTACATTTTAAACTTGTCATGATAAAGTTGTACCAGCAGGCTTTCCCCCCCACAGCTCACATTTTGACTTATCATAGCAGGAACGCCTATGGAGAATCAGAACCATTATGAAGGACTAAACTCCAATGCAAGCTTCATTAGTGCTACAAAGTGCTCCTGTGCTTCATATTGTACTATTTTTACATAAAATGCTGAATGTAGGACTGTTGAATAACGGGTTTTGTTGCCATCTTAAGTGAAGCACTGGACTATTTTTTTAAACCTGAAGTAAGGATCTTACACCATTTCCCAGCGGTTTGCAGAAAACAGCAGATGCACGGCGTGGTCCTCAAAATCTGTGTCGCTCTTCAAATAGGCGCTGATCTGCTGCCCAATTGGTGTGGTCCTGTCTGCACCAACAAGGCACACGACAGTCTATCACACTAACGTTTAACAACCGAGAAGTTCTATTTGCGCTACACATCTACATGGGGACTGAAAAACACACACAAAGCACAGTATTGCTAACGCCAGGCCTCACCGGGGAATGTGATCAGATCTGCGGGTCGGTTGCTCTGTTGTAAAGCCTGAACCAGTTTCTTGCACTGTGTCGTTTTCCCGGCTCTGTCCATACCCTCCAGCACGATGAGAGCTCCTCTTTTACCCGCCATTACAGCAGCAGCCTGTACACTGACGGAAATGATCTCTTGGTCTTCCGGTCCCTCATCTTGCGTTCCGTCTTCTTTTTATTGAACATATTTACAAACATACAAGGCAAATAAGTAAAACTGTCAACAGAACCCATTAAGAACGGAACAAGAAATCACACACCTAATAACGGAACAGAACAAAGTAAATTAAAGAAAGAGAGGGGGGGAACAAAAAATAATAATAAAATAAATAACTACATTAAAACATATAGCCAGGGGCTTATAATAAATCAAATCGTCCAATTGCAGACAAAAGACATCGGGCTCCTTTAACACTCTTGTAGCCCAGGGATTCTTTAAATGCAGATATTTCATCCCTAAACGCATCTAAACAAGGTTGACTTTTACTCCATTTACATTTATGAATATAATATTTAGCCAAAATGATAAAGTTATTCAACCAAGAATTCCACATCTTTTTCTTTCAGAGATATACCAAATTTGATGCTTTCTAAAGTGAAGGGTGCTAAGAAATCAATTTTAAACCTGAGCCAGTCATTTAAACATGCCCAAAAGTTAGATGTACGATTACAATAGAAAAACAAGTGATCTGTGGTCTCTGTCTGAGAGTTGCAAAAAGTACAACAGTTCTCATCCATATTAAATTTCAGTCGTAAGAATTCTTTAGAAGGGTAGAATTCATTCAGCATCTTGAAATGCAACTCTTTGGCTTTAGGAATTATGGGGAATGAGATGTATCTCTTTCTTATTTCACAAACCATATGGCCTGAAAGACCATCAAATACATAATTTCTTTTTGCAGGTGAAGGATAACATATATTAAGAAGCTGAGCTCTGATAAAGGAGTTAGAACATTGCTCATCAATCACATTTATGTTGCTGATCTTTAAAGGACATAGTTCCTGATTGACAGAAGAGTACAGAATATCCTGTGACCCCATCTGTTTAAGCTGGAAGGGAACAGCGTGAATAATCCTCTCATATGTATTCCTTGATGAAGACAAGTTAAATTTCATAGATACTTCAGAATAGGTCAATAAATCGCCTCTACCATCCATTAGATGAGCAATAGACCAAATCCCCTTCTTCAGCCACTCTTTCATAAATAGTGATTTTTTTCTTAAATAAAATACGGCGATTGTTCCAGATAGGCATATTGTGTGGAGAAAAGTTATGCTTGAACACCAGTTTCCAGTATTGAAGAACTTGTTGATGGAAGGCAGATAGACTCAAGGGCAACTTACTGAGTTCAAAATCACAACTTAAAAGAAATTGAATTCCCCCAACTTTTTTGAAAATCGCATTTGGAATTGCATACCAGAACAAATCTCCGTGCTTCATAAAGCCTTGCGGCCATTTTATTTTAATCATCCCATTCATCATATCAAAGTCGATAACTTTCAATCCCCCATCTTCATGGCTTTTCAACATGTCATTTTTCCTAATATAATGGCATTTATTTCTCCAAATAAAGTTTAGGTTAACTTGGTTTATCATTTTTACCATTCTAGATGAAATAGCTAATGAGTATGCTGGATAAGCAAGCCTGGACAGACTTTCTGTCTTTGTAAGTAATATTCTCCCAAACACCGACAGGTCCCTCTGCAGCCAGCTGCTTAGTATTGATTTACCTTTGTCAGTACTTTTTCCAAAGTTGTACCTTTCCCTAAATTCCTTGCTTTTGCCAATATTGAGTCCTAGATATTTAATTTCTTTTGTAACTGGGATACCATATAATGATGCTGAGGGATGACCATGTATTGCCACCGTAACTCATTCAAAATATAACAACCAAAGTGAGGTTATTTTGTGTGTTTTGTCAATTCTGTGTAGTTCTGGGTTGGATGGGTATTTCCAAATAAAGTGTCAGTAGGAGGCAGTGTTGACACGGTCATAGGAGGAAAAATGAGCGAATGGGCTTCCGTTGCCCAAAAATCAAAACCAGAAGGAAGAGCAGGGAGTGTAGACACGTGTTGCAACACAGAAATATGATTGTCACAGTACGGATCAGAGAGAGAGAGAGAGAGAGAGAGAGAGAGAGAGAGAGAGAGAGAGAGAGAGAGAGAGAGAGAGAGAGTGTGTATATTGCGATGGGTTATTACCAGAACTGGCCGTAAAAAGTCATAAGAGTCTTAACTGGTTGAACTTTGGCTGAAGATGTACCACTCTGTGTATCACATTCTGCGGTTGGTTTTTTGATGCACCTGATGACTGGAGAGGAAAAAACCAAGACTGCGCTTTGGACGAGCTGTCACTCAAGAGCTGAGGAAGAGCGAAGGACGAGCTGAGGGTCTGTGACCTAGGAGCCACGTCTGGAACAGTGGAGAGGATTGGGACGAGCTGAGGGCCTGTGACCCAGGAGCCACGTCTGGAACAGTGGAGAGGATTGGGACGAGCTGAGGGCCTGTGACCCAGGAGCCACGTCTGGAACAGTGGAGAGGTTTGAACAACCGGGTTTTTGATGCACCTGATGACTGGAGAGAAAAAAACCAAGACTGCGCTTTGGACGAGCTATCACTTCGAGAGCTGAGGAAGAGCGAAGGACGAGCTGAGGGCCTGTAACCTAGGAGCCACGTCTGGAACAGTGGAGAGGTTTGAACAACGCCGCTTTTCCTTCACTCATACAGAAAAGCGCAGAGATCTCAAACTAAATAAACAATAAACTGATTCTGAAACTAAATCTGAGGAAACTAAAATCACATTACCCGGGTAGATGGACACCTGATTTGGTTTTGTTTATTTTTTATTTTATCAGAGCCCTGGGGGGTTTCTTTTGTTGTTAGTCTTCATAATGTTGATGGTTGACATGAGGTAACCAGATTCACTGTTAATTGACTGAGAAAGAAATTAAATAAATGCCGGCTATGTTGTGGTTCAAATTTAGTCTGTGTTGTGTGATATATTCCCCCCCACTCCTCCTAGAAAAAGGAACCTAGTCGGGTACCTGTACACGTATTTCACAGTGTGCTAGGCCCGGATTACACCACTAATTCACATTTGTTAACATTTAAAGTAGTGATGCACCGAAATATAAATAAATAACTTGAATTTGATGAATCTGAAATGAAAAACTAAAATCTAAAATATTTTTAACAATAAA